TACGAATCCCATGAACCTTTACCTAATTATGGTTTAGAAGTACAGGTACCCTATTCATAGCCCTAGTTACGAAATCCCATGAACCTTTAAGTAGTGTAAGTCCAGGTACCCTATTCCTAGCCCTAGTTGCTAGTTCCCATGAACGTTTAAGTAGTGTCTTTGCAAGGAGTTGCATGGCACGTTTGTAAAGCATCTTGCAAGAGAGCTAAGAGTTCGGCATTCCCCAGAGCCCTCATCCCCCAAGCCCTAAGTGAGGGCTTAGGGTTTCGGGTTGAGGGTTTAGGGCTTAGGGTTTAGGGTTTAGGGTTGAGGGTTGAGTGTTGAGGGTGTAGGGAACCGAATCGTATAAGAGTGTAGGGTTTGGCGCTTAGAGTTAAAAGGATTATGGCCAAGGGCGGGAGGCCTTGAATCGCTCGAGATTGGTTCGGGAAGTACCTTAACTTGCTAAAACCAACTTATTTGTAGGGCCCCTACCTACAAATTTCATATCAGGGTTTATAATAAGAGCCCACAGAAAGGTAGGTTATGCTAGTTTAAAGTAGGGTTCAGGGCTTCCGGTACTACAGAGTCCTGAACAAGAAAATTATCGCTATCGCTGGTTCCTACTAACCTGCCACCCAGAGAGCCCAACACTACGTACCTAATCAAGAAACATCGGAAGAAGCCCCGGTTTTTGCCAGGCCCCCGTAAATCCTTAACCCCAACCCTAAACCCGAACGAAAACCCTGAACATAAGTGTTCTTGTGAAGTTTGAGTGGGACTCTGACATTCTAGAAACTTTTCAGAGTTTAGGTGCAGAGTGCAGAGGTTGGGTGCGGGTGTAAGCCTTTCGGGTTTAGGGTTTAGGGTTTAGGGTTGAACAATGTAAGCCTAAACCCTCAACCCGGAACCCTAAACCCTGATCCCTAAACCCTAAAACCCTAAGGCCTAACCCCGAACAATTAACCATCGCTCGATGGCGTCTCGTCAGCAGAGTCGGTTGTTTTACTTCAGATCCAAATTGAGGTCCCCGTTCGGGACGTAGCGGATACCATCTGAGGATCTAACAACCGACCGTTTTTAGGGTTCCTTTAAGGGGCTTTACAAGGGGTTTTGGGTTTAGGGTTTACCTGGGATCCAAAAACCGACTGTTTGAAGGGTTCTACCTTCCAATGAAGGGGTCATAACCTACTATTTTCTAGGGTTCGGGGTTTGGTTTTCCTTGACGTTCTTCTTATAGGCTCTCAAAAGCTAGCTTTCAAAAGGCCTTCTGAGTGCCTTGGTCCCAAACCCCAAACCCTGCAGCCCTAAGCCTGAACCCCCGAACCCCCAAGCGACTCCATGCTTTGGCGTTCAGTATTTCGTCCGTATGTAGGTACATGAGGCATCCTTTGTGACGACTTTATAATGCCCAAGTATAAAGTAGATGAACACATATATGCTTAGGTTTACGCCTTCAAGGACCCAACGACCCTTTGAAAGTGTGGGGCTTTCTTGGTGCACATGCGGATCCCAAGACCGACCTGGTTAAGGGTTAGGCCCTAAAAGCGAAGGGGGCCGGAACCTGATATTTTGTAGGGTTTGGGGCTAGAGGTAAAC